TCTGTGGCAATGAGAAGGTGAACAGACTGTTGAAAAATATCTAAGCATCATTTGAGGAAAATTAAAGGGTTCCAACTCCAGACATAACCTGAAGGACATAACAGCTACAGACTAGAATTTAGAAAGCCAGAATGGTCCATGATTAATATAAAATTAACATCATATGATATGAAGGAAGAGTCTGCACAAGCAGCATGTCCAGTATTTCTACTTTTGTTCAAATTTAGAATGGCAACTAATTAACTGCAACACTCATAACTACAAAATCGCTAGTAAAAGTAACATGAGAAAAGGTAGCAAAATTTCTTTTCATTGTCTCAAGGAAAAACTCCAAAATTATACATAACTACCAACACAAGAGGTATATAAGAACACAAACATACACACACACACACACACACACACACACACACGCTTCTGTATTATATAAAACTGTAACAAATATATGTTTCATTCATTAGTACCCCCAATATTGGGACTTTGGATTAAAAATGTGTAAGTCAGCACTGTGGCAAAACAGTTGGTGGTGCAATGCCAACATTCCTGGAGCTCAACTTAGAAGATCTTGAGTCAAATCTGGATGTTATTGCTTACGAGTATGTGGCCTTGGAGAAACAACTCCAGACACACTAAGCCACCTTATCTTTGACAAAGGTGCCAACATATTCATTGATATATCTTGGAATTTTTTTTCTTTTTCTCCTTGAAATAAAATGTATTTGGAAAAAAAAATGTAGCCTTGGGCAAATCATATAATAAATTCTGCTCTGCTTCCATATCTTTACCATACAGTGGGAAAAAGAAATTTACTTATTTCCAAGTCATTGTGAAGAATAAATGAAATAGTTATACAAAAGCACATAGCACACCACCAAATTTTGTCTTTTACTCTCCCTCCCTCTCTATACAGTAATAAGCCTCCTCTCACATGGAACTACACTCTTCTGCTTTGTAATCATAATATGCCTGGAATAATGTTCAAGAAGCGAGTCTGTAAATAACACCAACACACAAACCCGAATGCACATACAGTTAGTTAGCTGTCATCTAAATCTCAAAAGCCTCCTGCACACCACCTATTGCATCCCAGAAATCTGATACATCTTCTTTCCTGAACACAGCCAAAAGTATCCACTGGCTTTGAAATATCACCATCAGTGATGCTGCACAGAGCAGCTGGTTGATTGAAAGTGACTCCCCTCCCCCATCCCCCAGCTGTCACCAGGAAACCCCTAATGCATGGGAAAAAGACAATGTAATATTACTACTCCTGCTATTAATAATAATCTCACAAATACTTAGCATGTGAAATTATTTTTCTTATGAAAGCTCATTAACTAAAAATTAACTCTTAAAACAAACACTTCACCATATAAACGTAGACCAGCTGCTTTCATATAACAAAAGAAGTGCAGTAAACACAGGTAATATGTATATTTCCTGATGCCTTCTTTTTCAGAGTCATTTGTCATACTAAACAGTCAGTAAAAATACTAAAGAGCTCTTAATAATGATACAGCTGTCACAATTTCAGAGGGATTTTTTTTTTAAAGCTGACTTTTCAAAAATATGTACAGAATCCTATTTTTGTATAAGGTAATTCAGACTGAAGGCTGCATTTTAAAAAATAATAATCACTCACACCTCTGCATGAGAAGACACACATATACTGACGCTGCTGAAAACCTGCAGCGGAACAAACTGCAGTACAAGTTAGTGAATCCTATTCACCAGAGTTCTTGCTGTGCTAATTTAGAAGTGCGGCTTATGCCCTGGGGTTTTCTAACCCACAGATGGTTTCAAACCCAGATCCTTGGAACCCCTGGGTTCCCTGACCATACCTCAGCCTTAGAATAAGGCGGCCCAGGATCACAAGCCTGTACCTTCTACTTCACTAGTCTTAAAGCTTCTCAGATCCTGAACTTTGCAGTAAGATTCTGTTCAACAGAGCCCACCAAGGGAAAAAAAAACATGAAAACTACTGCTTAAGTGATGCAATTGTCACATTAAAGGAAATCTATCTTTTTAAAGAACAGATTCTGTTTTTCAACAGTGCTAAGTTTTTTTCTAGTTGTTGTGAGGTACTGGGAAGGAACTTAGGGCCTTCACACCGAACTACACCCCCAGTCCTTTTCCATTTTTAATTTTCAATGCAGGATCTCACCAACTAAGCTGTCTAGGCTGGACTCCTATTTCATTCTCCTAGAGTATGTAAAATACAGGTGTGCACCACCAAACCTGTTTCTAACAGTTTTTAAAAGAAACCATATATATATATATATACATACATATATATATTCAAACATATAACATTATATAAATGTACAGATTTCCTTTTGTAATTGGCTATTTATATTACAATACACTCCAAAGTAAACAAAATTATAACTTAGTGTAAATGCTTTTAAGTACTTTCCTCATATTCATATATTCATAGTAATATACATATATATACATATACAGAAAAATATAAAGGATTATTACTTCTTAAATGGAACACAAAACTAGTTTGTTATCATTAAGCACTCATACTGGAAAAAACATTAGCTCTTTCAGGGATAATAGCATTTTCTTATATTTAAGTGTATATTTTGAAAGAAGGTATTATGTCCTATAAGTAGCATCTCCTATAGTATAGCTTACTGTCCACATTAAGATCAGATACAGAAGAATCATGGCAGACAAACATTTAGTATCCCCTGATATTTCAATAAACGTCCAAAATAATTTCTAGATGGTGCTTTTAAGGTAAAACTGAAGATCATGTTTTCTACTACATTGTTTTAACTTTCTCCATGGATTTGCTTTTCCTCATTCACAAGACTATGAAAGCAATGACTCTAGTATCTTTATCATTTAATCAGAGTGTAGTTAAGTAAAAACAAATTACCTCACTTATAAAGTACATTGTAAAGAAATGAATGAAACAAAGGTGATGTTAAACACCTTGCTTCCCCTGCCCAAAAAGGAGCATTGATTAAGTCTCATAAGCCAAACATACAATTCATATGTTTTACACATTATTTTATTCCAATGATCTAAGGAAGGCACCCTATTACTTCTATTTCATAAAAGAAATTAAAGCTGAGAAAATGTTAACTTGTCTGTTGAACACAATCAATACTTAATGGAGGCAGGATTCAATAAAAGTTTTGCCAGACTCAAAACCATTGCTGTTTGCGCCTTTTTAAAATGGAGAACAAAGCTTAGGCCTTATAAAAAATGAATGTTTCATGATGGGACAGTGCTGATTTAGTAGGAGGGTTAAAATTAGTTATAGAACTTGGCACCTAAAGTGACCTGTTTCTCTGAAACCTCTCACCCACAATGTGAGAGCCATGTGTGCCTCCGAGAACAGCGTTCTACAATCAAGGTGATGGGTTTGGTAGGCTGCAGATTGGCACTGACCGCTTCAGACACTGTAACGGAGCTAGATGTTAGGGCAGCAGCTTCAGACTGAATGCATATTTCTCTTTGTATCCCTATAACAGCCCTTTAAAAAAGAAAAGGAACCGTTGTAAGAAAATACTACACCTGACAATGGGAAAAAGCAGCAGGTTGCAGGCATATATCATGCAGCTCTGTGATGCTACCAGAAAATGAAGTCATGGATAGTGGCTATGAGGCCTTCCTTGCTATGGTGGAGCTGTACAACAGGGATACAAAGAAGACAAAAACACTGAGTCTTAGCTTTTGCTTGCAGTCACTGCTCTAACAATATTACTTATCTTTTAAGCCAGTACTCAGCTTCCAGACTTTCCTAAAGCATGGGTAAAGAGGGAATGACCAAGCTGAAGGAACCAGAAGACCAAAGAATTAAAACCATTCTACACGATTACTAAGGTTATTTTTAAAAACACTATAGCCTCAACTGCATTAGTACTGGCATGCATTGCTGTAACTTTTAAAGAAAGGACCCTTCCCCTCCAACTCTCCACCATTTAGAATACAACAGAACCTGGAAGTAAACAGATAAAACAACCTCAAAAGCAGTGGTCACGGTACCTGTACACTAAATTCACCTAACTCAACATAGAATCCTTCCGACATAGTCTATATGTCATTTCACACAGTTCTAGCAAATTCCTTGTAACATCTCATCTTTGACTGTTTCATATGTGTTGGTATTAAGCAACTTTCTTGAGACCTTATTTGGAACATTTACAGCCCCATAAACTAACATTTAAGTGATCTGTCCAATGTTCTATTATTTCCACACTTAAATTCAAATTCCATTATTTGTGACTCCACAATGGGTATTCTTTATTCCTGTCTTCAACATTAGCATCCAGGTATACTGGGGCCAACTATAAGACTAAAAGTATTTTGATTCAGTTAATGTTTGGTAAGATTCTGAAACTTGCATTCAGTAGGTTACAGGGTAAGGCTGATCTCAGTAGTCCTGGAACAACTGAGGACTGACTGCACTGCAAGATAACTTGTCCTCCTAATCTATGCCTGGCCAGCAGCAAATGACAAACCTCTAGACTTAAACTTTGTCAGAACTAGAAAAAAAGAAAGAAATCGAGAAATTAGACTAAACCTAAAAGCAACTGAAAGAATTAAAAAGTCAGAGTGTCACCGAATGTACTGAAAAGTTCTTACACACCTCAACAACATGCAATAATATCAGAACTATTCAATAATTCACCTACATAATAACTCAAGTTTTCAAAAGCGCTTATGTTCACTTTGAAAAAACACATAAGCCTGTGATCAGTTTTTAGAAAATCTATTCAAAGTAGTTTAAGATATGAGCAAAAGAGCAGTCAAATCAACTTAGTTGACTTCCTGCCAGTATTAAATAAAACGTCACTCCTGAGGTTAAAAAGTTGGGTCTGCCACACACTTGTTACGACACAGAAGCTACAGTTGCGTCAGCGCTTGAGACTGCAGGGTGTGTCACTGATGCAACTTCGTTGTAAACCTCCTGCTTTCGAAAGGACCCTTCAAAACTCCCTCAGAGCCACCCCATCCTCCGGGCGCTTGGCCACACTGACTCTGGGAGGCCGACGCCCAGCAACCACAGTGAGGGTCAAGCGAAGAGCACCCAGGTAGGGGCTCCCGGGAACAAGGATCGCCGCCCGCTCTCGAACCCGCGGAGGGTGCTCATGACGAGGGGGCTTAGCCTCCAGCCCAGGCCCGCGCAGTTTCCCCGGGAGGCGCCGGCCCACAACTCCCAGCGGGCTGCCGCAATACCAAGCCCAGGTGAGAAACGCAGCAGAGTAAACTACAGACGCCGTGCTAAGCAAACGCGGAAACTCACTCTGTACTGCCCGCCTGTGTCCCCACGTCTCGGCGCGCACGTGCGTCATCACGTACGGACGCCAATTCGGACGCTCCTTGGCCGCGTACGGTGGCGGGAAGGCGTGCAGCCTAGCGATGCGACGGGGCGGGGCTAGGGGAGCATTAAGAAGCAGAGGGCCGGATTGTGGCGCATGCGCATTGTGCGCGTTTGCGAGCAAGTTTCTGCACGCCGGATGGCGGCGCGGAGGCCGCGAGGGCCGCGACGGGCCAACGGACTGGACCTGTGTCCGCGATCACCCTCCAAGCGCCTGTAGAAACATGGATGACAGCACAGACTTCTGTCACATATAACTATTGGCTGCCTCTATGTGGAGAGTAAAGCAAAGGAGCAGCCTCTCACACGAAGCTCCAAACGTGGGCAAAAGCAGCGAGCGGCGGGGCCGCCTGCACCCTGCTCCTGTCGGGCTTTGTGGCGCGGAAACGCGGTCCTTTCGGTCCCGGGAAGCCGCGAGCCTGCAAAGCCAGTGGTGGAGGAAGAAACTGCACTCCACGAAGACACCGCAAGCCGCGAGGGAACCGCTCACCTAACGCTGGACAGTAGCCAGCCGGGCAGGGCGGGTGCACAGCTCCACTCACTACTTGGCCTGGTTGCCCTTCGTGAGGGCTTCGGCTGTTAGATGTTCCTTTTGGGGGTCCATAGATGATTTGATGCCGTTTTGTTTTCTTCACTTACCCTGGAATAGATTTTATGTTTATGTATAGGGGTCAGATTACGTTAAATATTGTAATGCACATGATGTGAAGAAAGTATTTTTTGGCATAGTTTACTAATTAGAGGAAAGACACACATTTTCCGGGGAGAGATCTGAACACAGATGGTTTTATGCTGCTTTTTTATTTCTTGAAAGTTGTTGCGGCTGTGTTTGGCTGGCGTATTAAAAACTGCCTGCATCAGAAGAGTTTATCTTATGTCACGGTGTGCTGCAAGAAGTCTTCATAGAAATGTTTTAGAGTTGAAATTTAAGTGAAAGATTTGACTCATTTGTAGTTGTACATACGTATGTACATTGTACTTTCAAATAAAAAAAAAGAGGGTTAGCAAATTGCAGGTGTGTATTACTTGAACAGTTTAAGTTACCCCTTTGTGTGTGCTCATCAGAAAGACTTGACAGTGAAGAACTGCAATCCTGGGAATAGAAAGTCAAATGAAACAAAGCAAATTGCTTATAGAAATAGATATGCCCAGGAAAAAAAATAAATGTCATTTCTCAGGAAGTGTTCTCATTCTCCTGATTCATGATTATATGCATCCATTCAATTCATATTAATCCTATTTTCCACTCCCTATCACCCCTACATCTTTTTATAATTGCATCATTTTTCTTGTCCTTATATCAAATACAGAAGTTAAAGAGAGTCACAAATCCAGAAATACCAGTACAGTAATTCTGTAATGTGGAAGCATTACAATGTAGATACTGGGATAAATGAAATGGAGAACTAGAAGACAAGAAAGTTTAGCTATAGATTATGAATGATTACACCTTATTTGAAAAGTATGCCATTCTATAATAATTTAGTCTATTAACATGTTTTAGAAATGTATAAATCTTTTCCTTAAGCCTTTATATGGTATGGTATATAGGGGACCTAATTGTATTAAGGGTACAGTGAAAAAAATAACAGACAAATTTAGTAATACTGGCTGGGAAGTCAGTGCCTCCAGGTGGGTCCTCCTTGTCACACTACTAAATAGTCACTATTTATTGGGTGTATACAATGAGAGGTGGGACTAGCAAAAGATCCCAATTCTATTGAAGACACAGTTTTTTGGTAGGGGCAGGACGGCTTGGTTATCAGGGATTGAACTCACTACCTTGTGCTTGCCAGGCAAGTGTTTACACCGCTGAGCTAAATCCCCAACCTTGAGTCAGGTTTATGACTAAGGGTGAGTATAATCCTGGGGTGACTAAAGATGCTGTAGATGGTTATATGCTAAGAAGAGTCAATGGGAAATCTCAGACAAGTGGTACCAATAATCCCAAACCTCCATTGTATCCCTTAGGGAAGTATGCAAAATTAGCCATTGTTAATTGTGGTCCCTAACAGTATGAAAATGTGCTTTACAGCTCAAATGGCTTTTCACTGGTTTAAAAGAACGTAGACAGGCAAGGAAGCGCATGCCTGTAATCCCAGCATTTGAGAGGCTGAGGCAGGTGGTTTGTTGAAAGTTTAAGACCAGTCTGGGCTACAAAGTGAGCCCAAGGTCAATCTGAACTGCATAGTGAGACCCTATCTCAAAAAGGCCAATATATATATATATATATATATATATATATATATACTAAATAAAGAACGTAGAATTATTTCTCATGATTAACTTTATTCTACAGCCAGTGAGAAAAGTTGTATCAATAATAAATTATTACTAAAACTACAAATAAGAGTAATGCATTTGCAAGACGATCTGCCATGGTTAATTATCCTGACATAATTATGGACATTACTATAATTGCATATCAATTTTCAGTAATCAACTCTTAATTAATGTAATGAAACAGAAACACTGTGATAACAATAAAACAATTTGTGTTACTCTGCAGGTACCTTAATGTACTTAAAATGTAATGCTTAAATTCTTGTCCCTATATGAATCATTCTGTCATTTCCAATCATACCGTTAACAGATTGTTTTGTTTTCTATATTGGACATTAAACCAATAAAATATTTTGCTTATGCATTGCCTGATTTTTCCCACCATGGAAGATCAATGAGCCCTTTTTGTCCCAGTCCTGATAGCAGGAATGAGTGTGAGTATAAATCTGTTAGCCAAAGGCTGTCTCTTCCAGTTTGAACTCCAGAGGATCTGGAGGTAACTCGTGGTTATAGTCACCTCAGACCAGCAGTGACGGTGCTTCTGTGGAGGAACTGGAGCTTTCTTGTCCCTGAACACAGAGACCAGGCACAGTGGTCCATACCTGAAATCCCACCATTCTTGGAGGCTGAGGCAAGAGGATCCCAAGTTTCAACCCAGTCTGGACAATTTAACAATTAAATGAGAGCCTGTTTCAAAGAATAAAAACAAAAGGGCTGAAGATGAAGCTCAGTGCAAAAGGCCTGGACTCAATCCTCAGTACTACGTGAAGAAAAGGAAAGAAAAAGGGGAAAGAGGGAACAAAGGAAGAACAAGGAAAGGGAAGGCACTAGCTTGAACAAATCACACACAGTTTCACCACAACTTAAGATCCTTTCTGCTAAAATTTTCTGATTCAGGTTTTTTCCCAACAATTCATTATTTTAGATTTTAAATTTTCTACTTCACTCCTCTAACACCCTGCACAGTCTATCACCACTGGCATGACATCTACTATCTCATTAAAATAATACATTTAGAACTTTTGTCAGAGTGCTTGGAACATAATAAGCAGTACAAGTTGTTATTTTAACTACCATTAACTACCACTTGTTGAGTATCTGTTACATGCCAGGTACTTTAATCTCCATTTGGCAAATGAAGAGATAGGCTCAAAGAATCTTAAGTACAGTAATATGCAAAAGCTCACAGATTTTGGGCAGAGGGATGAATAGTTGGAATACATTATACATCTGAAGATTAAATGTCTAGTAGTAGATTTCATTGGATACATCATTGTCCACATAAAAGCTAATTTTGTTTTTACTGGTGCATGTTTACATACAGTTTTCGTTGTTTCTTTAACCATCTACACTATAAAAAATGAAAATATTCACTATCCACTTTAGAATTATTTTGAATGATGTTTCAATTTTCTGAATTTTTCCCTTTTAGAAAGTATTTTTTCTGTTGCATATTTTGGGTAAATCTTCCTTATTCTTGTTTTAACTCATTGTGATCATTAAATATTAGGTTTGCGGATGTCTCATTGTTCTTATGTTTGTAGGCTAATAGGATATTGTTTGAGGCTTCCTATTTCCTTCAAATAATTCTAAATAAGCACTTTATTTTAATAATTTCTTTTAAACTATTTTTTACATCTGTAACTACCCCTTCTGTTTTTCTGTCAACTAAAATTCTGATGCTTCAATGAATAATTTTACTCCAACTCCCAAATCACATTTTCTGAGCGTCACTTGAGACCTCATAAGAGCCTTCCTAAACCACTGCTCCTAAAATCAGGCAGACTGTTTCATGAATACTAAGTATCTGCTTTATGAAAAGCTCATTTAGGTAATGAATTCTTAGAAGAGAAAAAGTCATGAATGTTTTTACTAGGAGAAAACGTGTAAAACAAAACTTACATCAAAATATGGGAAACCAGACTGTGGCCACAACAGTAGTGAATGACTCCTAAGCATTTCAACTTAGCTTTTCTTGTCTGCCTGCAGCCTGAAAGTGAGTTCAGACCCTTTTTGGCCCTATGTGAACATATCCATACCCATCCTGACCCTAACACACCCCTACAAAATGTTATTCGAGCCACTGCTTATTAATAATTAAAATCCCTTCAAAAGCGTCCCTCCGCCCATATTTAGCCCTAATATGTTGAAAATTCTGAGGTTGCTGAGGGAACATTTTAAGGAGAGTAAATTTCAGCTCAAGGTTGATGGGTTGATCTGCCCAGCACCAGCAATTGGCAGCCCTTTTTGGTAACTAGAAGGAAGGGAAGGGCAGGGATTTGAGATGAAGGAAGCTTGAAATAAAAGGCACAGTTGGAAAGTCACCAGAATTACAACTAAACTTCTACCTAAATTGCTACAATACAACTAGGAAAAATATAAGCCATTGGGAGGAAGAGGAAGTGGGGATTTTTTTTATATCCACAGTAATCACAAGCAGCTCCATATAATGTGTGTATATGTGTATGTCACCAGTGATGGAGTCCAGAATTTCACATTAAGCTACATCTTCAGTCCTTTTTTAATTTTGCAAAAGGATCTCACTAAATCTGTGAATTGCCCAGGCTGGGCTCAGAGTGCTGATACTTTAATTTAGCATGCTTGAATTTAGCATTTA